CCAATTGTAATTTCTACAGCTATGGATGAAATAAATGAATTGAAATTGAATTGAAGATTCCACCCCCTGTGCACGACTGTGCACGACTCATAGCGATATCCCGTGGAAACTCAGCTGCTGTCCCCCTGACGTCACCACAAACTACTGTACCCTCTATATTCAGCTACTGACATAAGATGGCCGACGTCAGTGCCGAGAGCACTGTCGGTAAGAAAGCATCCTATCCTATGCACATCCAGCCAAACAGGTCACAGTTATGTAATTTCTTCTATACAGTGCACAACCGGAACATGGGCTCTGACAGACAAAAGAACATAAGCAGTGGATATTCTCCACAAAATATTAAATAACGCGTAAAACAAAATCATGGCCCATTATTTGGACTTCATCCATTATAGGATTTAAGACATAAGATTCTAAAAATTATGCTTCAGACATCCCATCGCCTCTTTGAAGAGGTAGAGGAAGCCAGTGTCTGAAACAATCGAACTTCCAGAACTGCATACTTCAAACTAGACAATGTATGAAGACCAACGAATGCCTCAAAATAACAGTATGTTAGTGCCATTAAATTTTGGAAAGGTATCATAAAGAACGTAGTTTAAAACATGGACACTACGAATTCGGGTTCGATATTTCAACCAACAAGCTTAGGATTGCATTCTTCGTTTAGTTAGTTACACATTTCCAGCACCATAGGTTATACAGCATCAATAGAGCATAAGGATGCAAATGACGAGTCAGGAAATACTCCTACGTGGAAGTGGTGACACATTCCAAGGTGTAATGCCAGCATCTGAATGGAGGAACTGAAGGAAACTGTAACAACACTGGGCCTTTGCACCAGAGTTATAGTAGTGAAAGCAACAGTCATGTCAACAAAACCATGAATATTGATGGTGTCTTTTTACATATGTTCATAAACTGTCAAATGATTTGCTTTTTTGCTGATGATTTTCCTTACATCCAAATCATCACTGACAATAACTTCAGGCTCCACAAAGCATCATGTTAGCCATGCTGATCCAAAGACCATTTTATAAGCATCCTTTTATTATTTTATAGAAAGTTGATAGGCTTATAGCTCCATCATGCCCATGCATTTGTCTGTTCACCTCACTCTATGTAGTCTGGCAATGAAGTTCCCACACTGATGCCACAGCATTCGCATTAGATGCTGGTGAAAGGAGCTACAGCCAAATACTTAGTGTAGTCCTGTGAGGAATAGTCAGTAAATAGGTCACAAATTGATACAAAACATAAAAACATGTGACATTAAAACATGGAAAAAACATTTGTTGCTCGGCATATCCTCCACCAACATTGATACACTTGTCCCATTGCTTTACCATTTCATCAAAAACTGCAGCCTACAAGTATTCTTTTTACTGTTGCCTCAGCTACTTCCGCACCTGGTTGGGAGACATCTGCGACTTTCAAATACCCTTCAGACAATTTCTCGACCCACTTGCCAACCACTTCACTTGAATGAACACATCCTATTATAAATGGGAAACATTTCCTTATGAATATTATCTGCATTGAGTTCTTTTGTCGGCAACACAGCGAACAACAGAACAGTGCTCTTTGGTAGTATCGCCCTCAAGCACAGTCACCTTTTGACTACTGAAACCAGCTTCTGAACATGCACATGCGTGTCTGCTACCTACACTGTCACGTACCTGGACTGTGTTGCTACATAGTGATACAAACAGGAAACCTACTACATCCATTTCACCTGTTTCATTTCCATTTCAGACCTATCTATTGACTCTCCCTCATATCTATACCAACAATTAGCAGTGGTCAGATAATCCAATCACTGACAGCTCACGAGCAGCAGCTCAGTAAGTTGGTTGTGTTTTTAACTGCTGTCACTGTTTAGCCATGAGGCAATGAATGAATACCAAATTTTGTATATGAACTAGATAAAATGCCAAAAGAAACCTACGACATGTTGCAAACTGTCTAGGGTGATGAAGCTGTAAGTCATAACAGTGTACGAGTATCTGAATGATTTAAACAATTCAAAGATGGGCATGACGATCTTCAGTATGATCCAAGAACAGGTGTCCTTCGACTGCTCAAAATGCAGACAGAATAGCAGTTGTCTGTGAGATGATAAGTACAACATCGTCGATGGGCTCTCAGAATGATGGCGAATGAATTAAACATCAATTAGAAGACTATTCATCTGGTCCTACATGACTATATGCCAAAAGTTCATGCCGCACAGAAGAGCAGAAACATTGGACATTCACATCACATCAAGACTTCATTCAGATTTGTCAACATACTCCAAATTGGCTGCATTTCTGGTATTTATTTATTTATTTATTCACTTCATATCCATCGATCATTATACATGATTCTATGTCCACTCAGCCTTTAACTGAAATGAGTACCAGGAATCTACCTGGGATTAACCATTCAGCGTGGTTTGATGTGTATGTTTCGTCAGGTATTTAAATCGTCTGCGGGGATTCGACGTCTATCATTTGTCCAGCTGCACACCTATGTTATAACGCCCATAATAATAGATGGTTTTGCTGTAGAGTGTTAGATTTTTCGCTGGCCTGTTGTCAGGAGGACAGTATATAATGAGGCATGAGTTTAGCTGCGCTAAAGCTTGGTCCTGGAACTTGGAATGACATCATGCAAGTGAAGTTCTATCTTCTGGGATATAACGCCATGTAGTTCGTTGAAAGTCAACCGACGTTTCGGAGGAAAGGACGCCTCCATTTTCAGGGTCTAAGAATAAGCAAAGCAAGCAACTAAGGCGAAAGCGGGCTCCCCCGAAACGTCGGTCGACTTCCAGTAGACTACACGGTGGTATACCCCAGACGATTGACTCCTCAAACATTGATCCATGGTGGTAACTTTACCGTCAATATTATTACAGAGCCCTGCAGAACTGCTACGGAAACGACGGAAACCTACTCAAATACGCTCAAATACACACCAGGTCAAATGACCTGCGCATTTGCTACAAGCTTATCTTTTGTGACGTCAGTTGTAACGCGATCCGTGACGTTTGCGTTGTATGTGCTTGTCAGCGCTTTAACCGCGTAAGCATGGTAAGCAGTGATTTAAAGCGGTTAGTTTGTGCTGGTTCACAGTAGTAGGTCGAGGTCGTCAGGTCAGTTTCGGTAAAATGCAGTAGGAATAGTTAAATTTGCAATGTCATTTTATTCTATATGCATTATCGTGGATACTTGTAGATAGCAGTAGGTTTTTAGTAACAGACTGATTCCTAGCATCAGTAAAGCTAATAAAACATCTCCTAACGTCCTCGAATCTGAAGTCACAGTGTGCACGGCAATATCAGACTGCGTTCAAAAATTGCCAGATTGTAATGGAACGTAAATATGTTCTAGCGCTGGATGTTGGGACAACTACTGTCCGTTGTTACGTTCTGGATAATTCCACCACGGTAATTGGGAAAGCATGTCAGGAGGTAAGTTTCATTATGATCATGTATTGTATGCAGCTGTTCACCATTATCAGTTAAATTGCTCCGAAGGAAAGGGCGTCATTCGCTTTTGAATGTTTTGAAACTCTAAAAACATGTGCACTAACGAGATACCTATCGTATTGGTAAATTAAGATTCCAGTCTTCTGGGTTAAGGCCCGACACATTTCAACCCCGAAGATGGAGGCAGTGCCCCCACCGAAAAATTCACAGCATGTGTTGGGTTTGAGGTTCATACAATAGTGACTATGAAGAGTACAGTCTGCTGGTATCCAACACCATGTAGTCCAGTAAAGGTCCACCGGCATTTCAAAGAAATGGTGTCCATCTTGAAGTGTGAAGAGTAAGGCAAGCAAAAGGCATGTTGAAAACGGAGTTTGCTTGTTTGCTGTCCCTGCAGTTTATTTCTTGCTTATGTTCTTACTGGGCTTGCACTTTAATCATGAAGTTGGACATTTTGCATTCCTCTGAAACATCTGTGCACTTTGCTGGATGGCACATTGTTAATCACAAAAGAAAGTACTTGTCACAACTTGTATCTGTAAATTTGTTTCATCGGAACTTCTGGATCAAGGCCCTATTCACAAGATGTCTCTGTTTTTGAGTCTCTCAGATGTATACTAATATGCAGAAATGCCAAAGAAGCAGCCCCATGCTTTTATTTGGCTTTATTTTCTCTGATATCCTATTAAATTGGATTAACATGGTGCTGACTATGCTACAAGCTGGAAGGACATGGGTTCAAATGCTGATGAGGTCATTGGATTTTTCAGTTGACCTAATCCTTCAGCCGCACTGTGGCCCTGCGGCCGTCTCAGCCTCTAACAGAAATGAGTACCAAAGACTAACAACCTCACTGCCATCTGTGAGCTGACTAACCAGAAAAGTGGGAGTCTTGACATCCCACAAACCTATCGGCCTCCACGACCTGTTACAGGGATAGCTTTATGTAAAACATGGATAATGCTGGACAGTTAAGTGTTGTCTGAAGGCTTTGCTTTCTTGTCCTCAGATTGAACACCTGTATCCACAGATTGGACAGGATGAAATAGAACCGGAGGAATTGTGGACGAAGTCTGTAAGCGTTCTTCGTGACTCTATAAAAGGTGACTATTGTAACAAGAATATGTCGGGTTTCTTGCAGGACCCTGTTCAAAACTAATTAAATTATGACTTGCGTGAGGAGCCTGTACTAAGTATCTCAGGCACACAGAGCACTTCTGGGTCCATTGTGCACATCCTGATCTTGTTTCAGCCCTTTAAAAATTGACTGTAACGTTTAAGGCAAAGCCTTCCCAGATGAGCCCTTCTAATATCTATGAGCTGTAATCATGCACAGCCATAGATCTATTTTCTGTTCTGACCAGAGGGGGCATTAACTATATGCCCTTATTCCTTGGACTAGTGACAGCAGTGAATGCATGACTAAAAAGTGCTACTTTGTAATTAAACTTCTAGAAAATTCCCAAGTTCAGTGTATTTTATGTCACATTTGGTGCAATTTAAGAACAGTTGTTTGGTTTGCTCTCTGTGAGTGCTTGACCTGTGTTACAGCTGCTGGTGTGAATCCACACCAGATTGCATGCATAGGAATATCTGCACAGCGCTCATCTTTCATAACCTGGCATAGAGAAACTGGAGAGCCGTTCCACAATTTTATAACATGGAGAGATCTTCGAGCAGATGGTCTGGTGCAGCAATGGAACAAGTCTCTGACAATGAAGGTTTGTTTCATGGAATTTTGTTGAGGTTTGGTATCTGATATACGAGGGGGTACCCAAAAGAAACGGAACTTATTTTTTTTAAACTTATTTATTCAAATTTTAAGCACAAACCTTCAATCCCCTTCAAAGTACTCTCCACTTACACTAATACACTTGTCTAGTCTTTTATTCCATTTTTCAAAACATTGTCTAAATTCATCTTTTGAGATGCTTGACAGCGCCTCCGTCGTTTTTTCCTTCACCTCAGCAACATCAGCAAAACGTTTTCCTTTCATGTCTCTTTTCATTCGAGGAAACAAAAAAAAGTCGCACGGGGCAAGGTCGGGTGAGTATGGAGGGTGAGGAACAGGGGTCATACCATTTTTGGTCAAGAATTGTCGTACAGACAGGGCTGTGTGAGCAGGGGCATTGTCATGATGGAAAAACCAGTCACCCGACTGCCACAAATCTGGCCGCTGAGCTCCAAGTCACTCCCGACAGCTCCACAATTTCTTCAATGGTCCGTCGTCGATCTTCCTTGATGATTTCACGAATTTTTTCAACATTTTCATGTGTTTGGGCCGTGGAAGGACAACCAGAACAAGGTTTGTCATCAATTGACATTTCACCATTTTTGAAACGGGAAAACCACTCAAACACTTGAGTTTTCCCCCATAGCATCGTCCTTGTACGCCGGTTTTAACATTTCAAGAGTTTCTGTTCCACTTTTCCCGAGCAAAAAGCATAATTTCACCGCCGCACGCTGTTCATGAAAATCAGCCATTGCAAAAACGATGATCACACAAAACACTTGTCACTATAAACTCTGCTGAAACTAGTCCTTACCTTCTGAAGCAACGGTAGTCGGCTCATCGACTCAGGAATGTTAGCTCTATGCGCTCATAGCGGCAAAATGTGGTACTACAAAAGCTCTGCCCACAAAAAGATTAGTTCGGTTTCTTTTGGGTACCCCATCGTACATGATCTATCTCGGGGTGATTGTGTGTTGGTCAATCACAAGAATAACATTCAGTTAAAAGAAACTAAATGTAGTAAAATATTGCTGGTGGGGACCTATACAGAGGTTAAATTTTATTCGCATGCCAGTTAATTCATTCATCCAGTCACCTACCAACTTGTTTTTGAGGAAGTTATGTGTATGAAATTTCAGTCTTTTTTGTGAAGTTCTGAAATAAATGGGTGACTGAATTTGTACTTCTGCAGAGTATCCGAATGGGAGCCCTGTGTCTTTACACCATTTCGAGAAACAAGCGGTACCTTGCTGGTAGTGTCTTGAAGCTCATGAATGCTCAGGTAAATGTTGGTTTTCAGAATGTTTTGACTTTTACTTAATTTGTAATATCGGGATCTCTGGCAATTTAATTTATTGCCTGAAGCAAGATTTGTCCAGCCTTTCTAATTACACAGTGTTTGCCAGCATTTCAGGCAGCTTTTTGTGGTCTGGGTTAAGAGTCATTTCTCCCCAATTTCTTAGCTTATAACCCTGAGGGGTTGGGGCAGAGGGAAATCTGTATGTCTTACTTTTATCAGTTTTGTCCCAAAGAGATGAGTGTGGATTTTCAAGTGCTTTTAATTGGCCAATAACAATAAAGTGTAGGCATGTTTGTCAACTTGATATACAGTCACTTTTTGATGCAGTCCTTTACTCTCTTTCCTACTGTTTACGAGGGGGTACCCAAAAGAAACCGAACTTATTTTTTTTAAACTTATTTATTCAAATTTTAAGCACAAACCTTCAATCCCCTTCAAAGTACTCTCCACTTAAACTAATACACTTGCCTAGTCTTTTATTACATTTTTCAAAACATTGTCTAAATTCATCTTTTGAGATGCTTGACAGCGCCTCCGTCGTTTTTTCCTTTCATGTCTCTTTTCATTCGAGGAAACAAAAAAAAAAGTCA